AGATGATATATACAATCGAACCTGATCGTACACATGATTAATTACGTAACATCAGAATCCATCAGGGGCTAAACTCGTCATAGTGAAATCTTCAAGTATTCACTTCCAGCTTTTCGCTCTGCAGCACTAATATATTTTATAGTCTCATCCCCCCCTTTTGCTATGAGCGTTCCCATATCGGAGTACATGTGTTATTAATCAATTTTATACGTAGTGCTCCGATAGTGAAGTTGGGGAGAAATTAGTAAACTCTACTCTGAGGGGCTGAATCTAGCAAATAATAAATAATATACAGTACTTAAATCCCAGTTCGAGATTTCCCTTGGCGACACCCATTATAAAAAGAACGGAGATCTAATGTTGGTTGATCAGAACCGGCAGAAATGATATAAAATCAAGATACATCACTCTTTTGACCAATAAATGCAGAAACTATCTCTATTGGGATATATCCTCTATATTTAACTAAAGTTGGATATTTTTTTATGCTTTATCTTTACATAATTTATTTGCTTATATAACTGTCGATAAGTTATAACATGACTCTGAAATATACTACTTAATGTCGATATCATTGATTGGATAATCAGACCAAAATTGTCTACTTATCTTTGAAATCAACTAAGTTATGACTCTGAAAGAAAAAATTAAAAACGGTTAATGTTACCATTTAAATGAAGCTGATTTGCAAAAAAAATGCACATGGCCAAATAATTGGTGTACAAATATTGCAAATCATTGACATATAAATTTACGTTTGGCGCTTATGAAGCTCCCTAAAGTCCGCAGCTTCACTGTCATACTGCATCATTTATCATACAGTACATTGATCAAGAAATCGAAATCTTAGTAATCTGTGAAAAGACGAATTTTGATTATACGTAAAGGATGTCTTCATCTTCACAAAACATTCAGAGAAAACCTAATGGATTTGATCAACGTGTGAAAATTGATGAAAGATCACCATTAATTCCAGAAACTAACGTTGGCCCCGGTGTTCGACTGAATGATATAATTGAAATAAAAACTTTTAGCGCTCGTGAAGCAATTTATCTTCTCAAAAAGGCGTTTCCTGCCCTTTGGGCGTTTTTGTTTCTACAAGCTTTACAAGTTACCAATGTATTTTTTATAGGACATCTGGTAAGATTTAATAAAAATAATAAAAAAAGCCGAATGTAAGGATTATAATATTAATTATAATGTAATCTTGCCTTAAAACTGCAAAAGGGGCAGGCAGAATTAGCTGGCCTCGCTTTAGGAACTATGGTAAATTAAAATCATACTTGATAACGAAAGTAATTTATAGTCATATTAATAATTTGTTAGTTTGCTGCAATTACTTGTTGGTCAATAGGATTTGGCGCAACAGCGGCATTGGATACACTTTGTCCACAGGGCTATACGTCAGGAAACCCGAAAATGGCTGGTATTTACACGCAACGAGCAATTATAATAATGATGCTTGGATTCATACCTATAGGAATTATTTGGCTGGTATCTGAAAATATTTTGATTAATTTGGGACAAGATGCAGAATTATCACATTATGCGGCGTTATATTTACGTTTTTTACTTTTGGGAGCGCCACCAGCTCTTATTTTTTGGTGCTTAGAAAAGTTTTTGCAGGGTCAAGGTAAAAAAAATTTTTTTTAATAATTCGTAAATTTATATTTTATGATTCAATTTCCTTTTGTTATTAGGCATCATGAAAGCAACAACATATGTTCTTGTATTATGTTGTCCAATAAATATTTTCCTCAATTATGTTCTTATTTGGGAGCCATTCTCACTTGGTTACATTGGCGCGCCAATTGCTACTGCATTAACAAATTGGTTAATGTTATTTCTCACTTTCCTTTATATAAAATACATTGATGGATATGATGCTTGGGGCGGATGGTCACATTTAAGCTTCAAAGATTGGTCAACATTCATGAAACTTGCATTACCAGGGATGTTAACATCATGCGCTGATTGGTGGATTTATGAACTTATTGCATTATTTGCAGGTTATTTTGGAAGTGTATCTTTAGCAAGTCATCGATTAATTCTTACAATTGCGCTGATATTATATCAGATACCACATAGTTTAGCTGTAGCAGCTTCAAACAGGGTTGGTAATTTACTGGGTGCTGGTCTACCAAATAGAGCGACAATAGCTACAAATACTTCACTCATACTTGCTGTCATTGGTGCCGCATGCAATGCAACGGTATTACTTTACTTTAGAAATTCTTTGGGGTAAACGTTTTTTTAAAAGATATATATATATAAATCTGAAGCTTGTATAAAAAAAGTTCATCTAACAAAAGTGTTTTGTTCGTTTGATAATATCTTTTTAGATTTTTCTTTACTCATGACGAAGATGTTGTAAAAATGGTAGCATCAATTTTACCATTAGCTGCTATATTTCAGGTATATTTACTTTTCACCCTATCCATTGAGCAATACAAAATTTAATATGTTAACTAATTATTTGTACAAATATAGTTTTCTGATGGTGTTGGCAACATAGGTAGTGGCGTTCTTCGTGGGCAAGGTCGATTAAAAACGGTTGCCGCAATATTTCTTCCAGCCTTTTATTTAATTGGTTTACCTTTAGGTCTTATGTCTGCATTTGAATTTAATATGGGTTTAAAAGGACTTTGGTCAGGCGTTACTTGTGCTTCTATATGCATGTCCATCGGAATAGTTTTAGCTGTATCAATGACTGATTGGAGTTGGGAAGTTGAAGAATGTCACCGAAGAGTTAAAAATGAATTAATCGATGAAGACGTAGGTGAATTATGATTATTCATCGCTTATAAAAATTTGAATAAGTATACATTGATGATATAGAGACATTGATTAGATGCTGATTATGGCTGTTAACTTATTTAATTCTATAACTATCGTAGTACGTATATAATGAAAAAACAACTTATTTCGAATATCGCAACTTTCTAATTGCGTGGTCTTTTGAATACTCTTTTTGTTTTGATGCCCATGTAACAAATTTTATTACGCCTTCATGTTCCAATAATTTATCCACAGTATTGTATTCATATGCCATTTTTTCATGAGAAATCATTTTATGACAAGCACTATGACAAGGTCTACAAATGTTTGTACCTCTTGTCAAACATTCTTCTTTAGTAAATAACCCTTTTTTCGTTACTCTTTTATGCATTACGCGAGGAATTAAATGATGAAATGTAAGTGGCATATGTCTATGGCATAGTTCACATGTTCCAGGTTCATGAGATTCTTCTTCTTCTTCTTCTTCCTCCTCGTCGCTTTCTTCATCATCCTCTCGTTGTGTAGCAATCGAAGTAGGGTTAAAAGTAGTTTTCAATCTTGTAATTAAAGACTGACAAATTTCTAAACACTCTTGTTCATTTTGACAAACTTCAAATGTTAAAAAATCATCCTTTACGATATCATAAATTTTTTCAACAACCTCTTGTTCTGATAAAGATTTAATTGTCTTATCAGATTCATTGTTATCTACAAGAATTAGCGATAAAATATCTAAATCCCAAACTTGCTCGGCTAGATATTCTACAGAGTCATTGTCCGAAGCAATTATGTCCGGATTATGATTGCATAATACTTGATAAAATGTGGTACGGAATAAAACAAGATTTTTTTGAGTTTGTATTTTAGATTTCTTAGCGTTAGAAGGTATGGATTTTGAACGACGCTTAACAGTGAAAGCTGCCTGCATTGTTATCTAAAAGTTACTTTATAAGAGTAAGAATTTTTGATTCATTTAAGTATGTACGTACAAACTAAAAAATCTTGTACGCACGTACGTACGTACGTATCACAACTTACCGTTACATAGTTTCAAATTTAATGTAGAGCAATTCCTAAAATTCCGAATCGGGCATTAATACTAGCAAATTGCGTTTATCCCTCTTTGTTCTTTTGTCTTTGTTTTTAAAAGTATCAGAAATGAATTTTAGGAAATTCTCCAGACTTTTTTTTTTTTTTATTAAAAATTTTTATTCGAAGACGTAAAAAGACAAGAAGTCGATTTAGTCGCCAAATGAGGGATTAGCACATCATAATGATACAATCAATAATCATAATACTTTTCATATCAATAACTTGCGAAGAGAAGAATGATCTTGCGCCGTTAAACTTGGATAGATTAGTGATTAATCATTCGAACAGAAAAAATTCATCAATTCCGACCTATTCCGATCCCAATTTGGGCCGATGAGCTGAATTTGGTGGATCCGACCGGACAAGATTCTGATATATGGGGGCTTTTCAATAGAAAGGGGGGAGATTTCTAAGTAAAAGTTTTTTAAACTTTCAATTAAAATATCTCAATAACTATTAAACTAAATTTAATAATTTTTTTTTATTTTAATTCTATAAAATTATAAAATTAAAAAAATAAATTTTTATTAAAGTTAATTTAGTAGTTATTAAGATATTTTAATTTAGAATTTAAAAAAAAGTTACTAAAAACTTTTTCACCCTTTTCTATTGAAAAGCGCATCGGCGCAACGGCGACAAAGTTATTGACAATATCCTCATCCAGCTCATAATAAATTGGATTCCATTAGAATTTGTGGATTGCGAACATATCACAGACGGTGGTTTCTCCATTAATTAAGTGGGGTTATTGATTTGGTTTATTTTATTTTGGATTTTTTTCTTATCGATACGATAGTTAAATAATTTTAAACAAATATAATACTGTAATAACCATATATATATATATTAGATTAAGGCGAATTGGGATCTATTTTCTCAACCTCAATTCCTGGTATCGCTCAATCTCCAAGCAGTGGCAACTTCATGATGGTTATGCAATTTGCACAATCAGGTGACTTGCGTTTATATCTTTAACGTAATAGCACAAAGATAACCTTCGAATCCTTAAACGAACATCGAATAATCCAACGTTGTGATTTTTGTGATGTTGGATTAAGCGAACAAGCCTTCAGTGATAGAATCTAGAAATTTATAGTTTCTCATCATAATGTGGGAACTCTGTTTCGGTTTGAAACAATCTCGAATTAGCTAAAGAAATCTGCGAGGAAAAAACGATTCCTGTGGGAACCTCTCTACTCTATTCTGATCTTATGGGATATTAATTCTAGTACCGTATCGTCGCGAAATAACGCCCCTGGGCGTTATTTCGAGACACATTGCTTGAAGAGAGGTAATAATTAACTTAGCCGAAGACTTTCAATAACAAAAAATTATAATACGCATTTGGTTACTGTAAATTAATTATTAACTCCACTGATCGAACGCATCCGGATGCGGTATCTCTTATAGTAAGATTGTTGGACTTCCCTGAATTACGTGGAACGACACGTAAACGGCAACATTTTTTCTCTGAATATTCCGCTTTCTGTATCCGAAGGTAGTTAATATTACTGTGGAACACTTGTATTCATGAAAAGATTTGAACGCTTATTAGGTATACGAGGTTTATCAAGTGTACATACAGTCCTTTTTTTTTCTTTTGAATTGATATAGATATGTGGATATATTAATTACCCTAACAATCCTTTTTTTGAAATTCGTTTTTTTTTTGCTTCATTACATTCAATTTGTTATATAAATGATTATTTCAGTAGAATAAATCAATATAATTCATTATTTATTCGTTTTATAGAAAAAATTTATAAAGCCAAAAATATTATTGTATTGGATTTGGTTATAATTCTTAAAACTCAAGAAATTTTTATAAATTTTTTCAAATTTAAAAGGATTAATTTAAGTTCAATATAATAACTATTATATTGTGTGATCACTTATAATTTGATTAAATCCTTTAACAACATTTATTTTTCGTATTCTCCTTCCAACTGCTTCCATCATTATAAAACTCTTTTTTCCAAATCGGCACCTTCTCCTTTAATGTATTAATTAACCATTCAACAGCTTTAAGCGATTCATTACGATGAACACTCGAGACCGCAATTATCACACTGGTTTCTCCGACCGGAACTATACCTAGTCTATGATAAACCGCTACTTTCATGAGTTGCCATTTGTTTCTAACATCAGTGATTATGGATGAAATCTCTTTTTCAGCCATTGGGATGTAGGATTCATATTCTAAGCGAACGACTGTTTTGTCTAATCAAAAAAAGAATAACAATAAGTCGAAAATAGTTGGAAATAAAATAAAGTGATTTGAAATATTTTCCTTCGAATGTGTTTCGAGTTGTACCACAAAATGTTGAAATGGCACCAGCTTGGTCATCCTTGACTAAATCTACAATGTCTTGAAGTATTAACGAATCAGATGTTAATTTTATGAAGTCTTTTTCAGTCTTTGCCATTTTTGTTTTCAAAAAGAAAAGAGATTATTTAAAAACAAAATCTACAATTTATAAATTTAGCATTACGTACGTACGTATCACACATTTGTGTTACACGATACAAGCAAATAAACAATTTAATACGTATGATAGAACAAGTTTTGCGCCTGCTTATGCGCTGGGTGTTTTGTAATGAATATATTTCGTGTGTTGAATGTTAGTTTGCGTTTGGAAGACTTTGTTGGTCGGTATTATTAAGCATGACGGAAGTTGGTTTTGATTGGCTATTTATTTTATATTAAAAAAAGCGAGTTTTTTATATTATTTTACAATAATCTAAATAAGATATATTGAAATTTTTATAATTAAAGCTGCCTAAAATTTTATCGGATTATTTTTTGGATGCCTAACTTTCATATAAACGTTGGAGATCAAGTGTTCCACCACAATTATGAGAAAAACACGTTTGTATTACAAGATTCTATAAAGTTTGTACTGTACATTACTTTTAAATTTTAATATATGCTTTACTACCTTGGCAATTGATTAAGTGAAAAAGTTATGGCATTGTTTACTAGCAGGAATCCCAATTTGATTTATAAAACTGATCTAGTATGTATTAAACTGAATAAGTTATAGTTATTGTATGGGTTGTAAAAAATAACTAAATTTGCACGGGTTGACCCTTGCAAATTTAGTTACTTTATGCAATCCCATATAATATTATTGCACGGGTCTGACGTAACAACCCGTGCGACACCTTTCACATTAATAAAATAATGTTGATGTTATGAATGCTCTGTCCAATAAGAATTTTTTTATAAAGCAATGAACTAAAACTAATCAAGCAAATTCCAATTATATATGACCCTATCCAAAAATTTTTTTTAAAAAAATGAAACTTTAATCATGTAAAGAATTCTGTTCAATGAAAAATGAAAATAAAATAATATTATTCCGTTTAGTGTAATATAGAAAGCGAAGACTTAAGAATAAATAACCTGTCTAATGATAAGTTTAAAACAGAGGTTTAATAATAAGTAATTCAGTATACTAAAAATTATAAAACAAAAAGATTTAATAATATATGACTAATCTAACAAGAATTTAAAGAAAGTAAAAATTAATAACATGCAACTTCGTCCA